TAGTTTAGACTTGAGACATGAGTCCAAAGACACAACTCACACAACCCACAGTGTGAGCTGAAGGCCTAAAGGAATCTGTGGAGCTGGTTAGCGTTTCCGTTTATGAGTCTTCCATAAGCCAATCCATCAGGCGTCGAGTCCATTAACTCCAGCTTGTTTCCTTTGTGATGTAAAGACAGCATTGATTTGTCTAATGGTCATTTAGAAGGTCATTAAAAACCACTTATCGTTGTTCCGAGGGCGTCTACACGGTCCTCAAACAGCAAAATATTTCGTCCACTGTCTCGTCAAAACCATTTTTTATATGTTTTCTAACTTGCGCCTGTGTTTCACAACCAAAACAAACAACTGAGGAAACTTTGGGTTAACTTCAGGGACGCTAGAGAAAACTTTGTAAGCTTTTAACCAACTCAAACTTTGTCTGTTAATTAACTTTTAGACAAACTAAAGTGTATGGTAGCACATGTGGGGCACAGACTGGGACCTTCACTGTACTGAAGTCACAATTAGCCAGTGGAAATGTTAAGGAAAACAATAGCATGTTGCAATTAGAGGGCTCAAGACACTTGCAGAGATGATAGGATTATTATTTGGGGTTCATGAGCCAAAGTATGTGAAGAATGTGTTTCCACCACAGGGGCAGAGACACAGAACTCCCTCCAATCAATGTAAACATCAGCTCCTCTGAGACAAGAAGAAACTGTCCGGTTCTGAACATTTGGGCTAACTTACACGACTGTGAGACTCTAATCCGACTGGTCGAGTTATGCGTAAACAGTGTTAATATTCAGAAATGTTGGCTCTCGGCGGAGGCTTTCGTTTACACACCCCCAACCACAGCACATGTTTCTACTTTGCTGTGAGCTCTCCGTTAAGTCCTCGCTGCTGGAGGCCCGCTCGCCGGCTCGGGGTCGAGTCAGGGCTCCGTGTGAACTCTGTTCTCCGCTATACCAAAGTGTGTTTGTGTCCGCTCTCTGTCCAATCATTTGCAGTCAGAGCAGCTTTGGAGGGTTCATTCTAGGTTAATGGTGAAATGGAGACAAAGGAAGGAGGGAGCTGGGAGGCAGAATACAAGCTTCCCATTCAGAGAGCGAGGAGGCCCACGCTTGGCTCCGGACACCACAAAGAGGAGAGGGACCTCAGCAGAGGGAGCTGGGGGGAGGGAAGGACAGAGCAAGGAGGGGATGAAGTGCATTTATACACAGCCGGGCTAATACAATATCATACTGTCTTCAATGGTTAAACTAGTCCTAACATTTGTGTCATGGCCCCTCGTTTATCCTGAGAAGGTCTGAACACATTATTCTCATTTCCCAACTTAGAAGATGTCCTTGAAACGTCTCATATTGTTGCACCAGAGTGTGAAAACATCACTTTGTTTATTGATCATCCTGAACAGATAATATTCTGTCCACCCATTTGTTTCTTTGTGCTGTTAATAAAAGCTGACGGCCTGTTTTCTCTCCTCCCAGGTTATGCCCACTGGAAAGGACAGGTGCTGACAGCAGAGGAGCTGAACGTGCTGTATGAGGGCATCAAGCTCAACAAGGTGAACCACTATGACTACATCCTCACAGGTGAGTCTAAGGGGTGTGTCCTTGTAGACGTGGGTGAACTGATGTGGATGTTATGGAGGGAGCGCTTCATTTTACTTCATTTTACCAAAATCACCGTCATGTTGACCCAAAGTGTTTAAATCTGAGCTGCTTTGTGACGTCAGCCGACAGAATATGTTTGAAGACAGGCGTCAAAAACATGAGTGTACAGTAGATTCAGCTACTTTCTGTTTGTTGTTGTTGTTTTCTCTTCATTGTTATTGTTTTTCCCTCCAAAGGGTACAGCAGGGACACATCCTTCCTGGAGATGGTGGTTGATATTATTCAGGAGCTGAAGAAGGCCAACCCCAGCTTGGTGTACGGTGAGTGTCGGACTGGGTTTTTATTTTGAGTGATGAAACTTGACAGTGTTTTGTTTTTACAAAGCTGATTTTTGAGATTTCTCCTCCACAGTTTGTGATCCTGTTATGGGAGACCAAGGTGCTATGGTGAGTGTCCCACAGTTTGTTTTTCTTCTACTCTATCAAAAGACATACGACCTTTGTTTTTTTCTCACTATCTGACATTAAATCAAACTAAACGTTTCCTGTTTTAGGTCAGTCAAGATTACCAACATTATTTCTATTTGCTAAACGCCAGAATAATGAGAGAAAGAATGTTTTACTACTTTTTTCAAAGTCAGAAGTTTACATCCACTAAGATGCCTTCAAGCTGTTTTGGAAAGTCCAGATGATGATGTCATGGCTTTGGGAGCTTTTGATAGGTTAATTGACAACATCTGAGTTAATTGGAGGCACACCTGTGGATGTGTTTTAAGGCACACGCTGCTTTCTTTATATAAAAACGGTTATATGTCTTAATTCTGTGTATGTAAACTTCTGGTTTCAGCTGTTTATGAATCAGTAGCTGGAACACGTTATCAGTGCTGCTGATATTATACCACATACATGAGATGAAAACGACGACTTTGCTGTCAGTTTGGCCATATTTTCATAGAATTTGGAACCCCTAAAGTCTGAGAAAATGCGTCACTTTAGCTTATTAGTGCTTGTTAAACATCCACCATGTTCACGTTTGTTTAATATACACGTCTAGCTTTTTATTGTTTATTAGAAACTTGGATTTCTTTTGGCGTTGCGTTACAGACGTGAATAATAAACCCTTTTTTATTTTTTTCCTATCATTGGAGTTTCCAGTTTAACCTACAGTTTAGCATTTAGTATTGTTTACATTTTCTGCTGACATACAGTTGGTTAAAATTAAATAAACTTAATAAATCCATCGATTAATCGATAGAAACACAGTCATTAGTGGCAGCCCTGAAGCACTTTATAAATTATTTTATTGATTTGTTTCATCTGCAGCTCTTCATTTGTAATTATTACGTATTTATGTATTAAATCTGTTATTGGAGGTTATTTTTGACATTTTGTAAAAGCAGATATTGTTTTTTTTCTGCCTGGTGCAGTACGTTCCAGAGAACCTGCTGCCAGTCTACAAGGACAAAGTAGTGCCTTTGGCCGACATCCTCACCCCGAACCAATTTGAGGCCGAGTAAGTGCACCTTAAATGATACTTACCTTCCCTGTACAAGAATTTCAGGGTGTGTGACTGTGTGAGGAAGTGTGTTTTGTTTTTGTCTGTCACTGGTACATGTGTGACGCTGTGTTTCTCCTCTAGGCTGTTAACTGGGAGGAAAATCAACACAGAGGAAGATGCTGTTGAGGTGAGTGTTGTAAACATTTCCTGCTTTGCTGTATTAGTTTGTGACACCAAGAAGTACACAACCTGAGAACACGGGACCTTCTGATCTGACCTCCAGGTGATGGACCTGCTTCATAAAATGGGTCCAGAGACTGTGGTCCTCACCAGCACAGACCTACCCTCCAAACATGGGGACCAGTTCCTGGTGGCGCTTGGGAGCCAAAGAACAAGTAAAGTACCAGGAGAACTTTCTCCTCACAGAGAGCTCACGTTCTGCTTCTCGAGAAGACATTTGGGGATTTGATGTAACCCAGTTTTGATTTTGAGTTTCTTGTGAGAAAACATTTGTGTGCGTTCTGTCTGACGGTTTTTGGTAAACAGGATAAAGTTCTGGGTTTTATGAGGTTGAGATGCTCTTTAAAGGTAGTGAAACAGACGACCTGCATAAAGATGTACAAACATAAAGATGCTGCTAAATGCAATTATAACTAATGCTCCTTGCTATCTGTGATCATCACTGCTTTATTTCACTGCAGAAAAAGCAGATGGGACCAACACGAACCAGAAAATCTGCATGGACATCCCCAAAGTGGACGCTGTGTTTGTGGGAACAGGAGACCTGTTTGCTGCCATGTTGTTAGCCTGGACTCACCATCACCCCAAGGACCTGAAGGTCAGCAACACACATGTGTTATCAGTGAGAAACTGATGGAAGCCATTTTAAGGAGATGGAGTCCTGCATGTACAGCTACTGAATGTGTTGTTCCTTTGTTTAATAAATGAACTCTCGTCTTCCTTTTGTCTTTTTCAAAGGCTGCTTGTGAAAAGACTGTCTCAGTCATGCACCACGTCATTAAGAGGACCATGACTTATGCCAACGGTAGGCTTTGTGTGTGTTGATTGACTTCAGTTTGTCGCGAGGTCTCTTTACTTTGTCTTCCGGTTGTTGACTCATTGCTCCCGTCTGTTGTTGATACTGTACACGAACAATCATCAGCAGTACGTCCACCAATAGCTCGCATCACGTCGAGGCCACTGGCATAGTTCAGATGACGACTGTCAACATCTCAGCTGATTGCGTCACCCTCCCTATTGTTGGCCATTTAATTATTTGTTTGTGCTCTCGTTAAGTGTTGATTAAATCCCATATTTAGCTAGAAGGAGGCGAACAAGTAGCGTCACAATCCTCTGCCTTATAGCTGAATAAAAAAAACTGCTTTCCTTGAACTGCTCTCGTCTCTCTTTCAGAGATGGCTGGCCCCGGGAACAGGCCCAGTCCTGCACAGCTGGAGCTGAGGATGGTTCAGAGCAAAGCCGACATCGAGAACCCGGCCGTCGTCGTGCACGCTAAAGTTTTACAAAAGTCTTCATAACGAAGACGGTAACGTTTCTGTGAACGTTCGCATCGTGCTGGTTCAGATCTGCTTCTCGTCCGGGCAGTGTGCCAGACACATGTAGGATTTTCACGTGTCTCTGCCTTACAGAACCTCTGAGGGAGTCCAACTATGTCTTCAGAAGTGGTCAACAGGATTTGTTGTCTGTACGTTTCTGCTCACAAACACACTGGTATCACTGCCATATGTGTCTGTACTATGGCCTGTGTAGGCATCCTCTGCCCTCGATTCAAAACAACAACAACAAAAAAAAGGACATCAGCCAACTATGTTTAGGTTTAAGATAGTGTAAATGTACTTGAAGCCTCCTTAGCAGATTGAAAATAAGTTCTTGCTGTAAAACAACTCATTCCAGTTAGGATGACTAGAAACCAGTAACGTATGCATGAACACGCCTCTACTTGTTTTAAGTCAGGACGCATCACACGTACTTCAAGTGTGCCACTCACAAGGCATTATAAGCACATCAACATACTGTCTGTAACTCAATGAAAACATACCGGCTGAGGCCACAACATATTCATATTTTTCTGAAATGAATGCATGCAATGTGCTTAAAATGCACTTGGGTGTTTTATCACTTCCAGTAAAGTGTCACACACGTTCACACTGGATGCATTAGAAGTGCTGAGATGTTTAAATATGTCGACATCTTATGCAATTAACATGCAGTCTAGTTTCATTTTTCCATTTTGCTTTGATTAGTTTTATTTTCGACGAACTTTAATGATAATCGTGATAATAGCTGATGTCAAAAATTCTTCTTTTAATCAATTTTCTGAGAAGGTTTTTCACCTCGTTGTTTTTAATTATGCAACGCTTTCTTGAACTAGCAAGTGTTAGATCCATGTCTTAACATCTCAAATTGAGGTATTTGCACAGATAATCTTTAATATATTTACTAATGATCATTGTTTTCAGTCTTGACTGTTGTCATATCTCAAAGAAAAGAGTCTGGAGACCACGCTGTATAATAGCCTTAACGGGGTTAGGAAGGCTACAAGCATCGGTTGTGAATGTTTTTATTTTTCTTCTTTGTGCTAATAACTGATCCTCACACATAATGTTAGAACGTCAAGTGCCAAACCTGGAGCTACTGCTCTGCTGTGGAGCAATAGAAGAACAGAAATAATAAATTATTAATCTTTTACTGAAACCGAGTCGATTTCTTTATTTTTATCTATTATTTATTTATTTATTTATAGGTTTCAGAATGAGTCTCCTCTGGGCATGAACTCTGTGTTTCTTTATTTGCTTTTAAGTGTGGGTGAAGGAGCGCACTAGAACCTGTTCTACACGGTGTTCACATGAAGAAGTTAATTGTTCCCTGAGGTTATTTTTCACAGTCTGCATACAAATGACAACTCACAGGGTTTTTTTTCTGATCTTTTATAAACATGAGGATTAAAATCTAGTCCAGTTTAAATGAAGGGGGAAAAAATAGAAAGAAATACGGTTGATCAGGGTCAAAAATAACCTGAGTGACTATATGAAGACTTAGATAAACACACATGTGAATTGTACCATGATCCTATTCATGGATTGTGAAGAGAAGAAACAATGATGTAGAAAAGTAAGTACAGTAAGTCTGTAAATCTCAGTTGTCTTGCCAGGTGCTTACTATATTGTGTGATTAGGGCCAGGTGACAGGGCTCTGTATTGACAGCGCTAATCCCCAGTATGAATAGCCAGCATTAGCCCAGATACCCAGACAGGCCGATGTGCCTGTTCAACCGTAACCTGAATGCAGCAAAGTTACAAACACATCTTATTTGTGCTCGGTATGCACACGGTGACTCGCGTAACAGACTCCAGACTTCACTGTGAAAAAGAAGGAATGATTAGTTATAGGGAGTGATTCACGTCTCGTTCTCAATTTGGCAAAGTACAATCCAACATGCATGTTATCGACCAGATTTATCACATGGGAGGCCACGGAGGAGGTGCATGAGTAGAAGGTTTCTCAGCTGGCCTGGCCTCCAGTTTTAGGTGCAGCTATGAATGTACGCCAGCAGAGGGCTAAAGAGGTCTAAAGTTAATCAGACATGTGCACCTGCTCAGGAAGTGACACAACCACTGACATGACAGCAGCCCTGCAGGCACACAGTCTGCAGAAAAAGGTTGTAAAGCTCAAGCGTTACGCGCTGATTCACAGGCAAGAAAATATGTACACATTGGTAATAAAAACAAAAAAAAGTGCAGAGAATGAGTAAATGTTGTGGACAAAATTGGAAAAATAGTTCCAGAGAATAATAATAATAATGCCATGAAATGTCAAATGCAGTAGTGTTTTATTTGAATTATTGAATTTCCCTTCTGGGACAAATAAAGTATTTTTCTTTGTTTTTTCATTAAATATTACTACAACTAAGGGTTTAAGGGAACTAATGGATACTTAAGGGATTTCTTAAGTACTTGTAGATGGCAGCTCTTATTGTGTTTTTTTTCTCCCTCATTTTCAGACAAATATATTCTGATATGTTGCAATAATAACGTGTAAATAATGAGATATTTTTCTGTAGTTTAAGCTCTAGTCTGGACTATACTGGTGAGTACACAGGCTGGTAGAATCAGTAAAATGGGACCTCACAGGGCTGCCTATAAATCCATTTATACTACTTTTTATTTTACCTGTATTTAAACATGCAGGCAGGTGCAGGGCTACAGGAGTCCTCTGTTTTCCCACATATTAGTAAATTTAATTTGTCCGTGTGAAAATGAATGAGGGGCCGGACCGGATGTGGGACAGGCCACCTTCAGATGGGCTTGGAGGAAATGTGGGGCTTTAACCGACAAACAATAGCGCTCCTGCAAATCGCATTACCTCAAGTCAATTTTATTGCGTTTCGGGGAGCGGACCAAGTGGGAGAGACTTCCTCGGCAGACTTATTTTACGCCCCCCGAAGGCCAGAAAGCAGCGAAAGAAGTGTAACTGGATCCGCCGCCGTCGCCCTGCTCCCCGGTGAATAATCTCCAGGTAAGACCGGGTACCGTTACTGGCTCCGCTGCTAACGGTGCGGGGGGCTGGCTAGCTAGCATGCTGCACCGTCAGCTGGTTGTTTACAGAGGAATGGGGTGCTATGTGTGGGGGTAAAAGTTGCCATTCTCTGGGCAAGTTAGCAATCCTCCTAACCGACTCCATTAATCCCCCCCAGAAGCAGTTATCCCCCCTTTGCTGTAGCGGTGTAGCTAACCTAGCATGCTAGCATGTACCGTTAGCCGCTCTCTGTCCTTATGAGTTGCACACAGGTTAAGCTGTTGTCAACCAGCCTGTAGCAACGGTCGCACAGGTTGCTTATATTCCCTCATGTGTGGGAAGGTAAAGGGCTTCTGTGTTCGCCACTTTGAGCGCACCGGGCGGGCGGCTAGCTGGCGGCCGCAGCCAAGCCATGTGTGTCCGGAGATAAGCCGTGTCAGTGGCCGGATTCGAGGGATGGTGCTGGCTAGTGGAGCGTTTATTGCCCCAGCCATGCCGCATTGGTGCACACAGTCCGCTTTAGCATCTTTATTCAGAGCTAAGGGTGAGACACCGGGGAGGCGCACAGTTCGGCCACGCAGGAGTTGATGGCAAAGTATCAGTGGGTTCATTTGAGAAAAAAAAAAAGCCCTGCAAGCCCTCCATGCTCCGCTGTGCGTCATGTGCGCCAGCTGGCTCCGGGTTGACCTGCGTACCGATGTCGTACCACACATCAGACGTAAGGTTACTGGAGTTCATTCAAGTCTGCGGCTCTTTAAGCCGGGGCTAACTTTAGTCCTGAGCCTTAGTTTTATCCAGGGAGACGTGCAGTACGTGGGGGCAGGCAAGTATAAAGCGTTTATGTCCAGCACTTGTTTGCTAGCTGTGTTTGTGTCGCTCGTGTCCACGCTGTCCACGCTTTGTGCTGGTCTCACACTGGTGGCCACGTTGCTCAGGAGCCAAATGCTAAGTCCAGCGTTTTAGCCAACAAACAGAGCAGTCATGAGTATTAGGTGTTCATATTTATATTGAGCCCTCAGCTGTTGTTGAACCACTTGTTAGTCAGCCTTGTGTGTGTGTGTGTGTGTGTGTGTGTGTGTGTTACTGACCTTGACAGGGCAGCATGTGGACTGGTATAGTGCTGGGTAGTACAAGTGGCTGATCACTTTTGGCTTAAATGATGAATTATCAGTCATTTAACAAGGTGGGTGTGTGTGTGCAAGAGAGAGAGACTTTTTTTTTTTGCTTCTCTGATTAATGAAGGCAGTTATCGTAATTGCAATCTGTTAATTTTCTGTTGAGATAATTACAACGTGGCCGTGTAATCTGTGCAGCATTGGTTCTAATCATGATTTTTATCACGCTGACCACAGGGGCTCCTAATAGCTATGGCTGGTATTAATCAGACAAACACCGGTTATGGCTGTAATGTGCACTAACCTGGACAACTGGAGGCATGAGGAATGTTTCTGGCCAACAAGGGCCCGTTAACCGCTTCATACACAAGTCTTTTATTCAGTTTCTCTCTAAAACATCAGCACATTCAGTGTTTTAATCCTAATGGTTAAGCATCCTCCCTGAAGATCACCTGAGGGGTATAAATGCAGTCAGGTGACCAAACTGTGGTGGTTCGATGTGCCGTGACATCACTGTTGGTGACCTATTGATCTCCTTTATCTGCTAATCAACCCACAATCTCGCCCCTATAGGACTTTGAGACATATATACATAGATAAGCCTTTATCTGAGCCGTGTCATCATGGATGGGAATCCAAGGCTTTTTTGGCAGCGTGGAGTTTAATTACCCCATTATTCATTTTGTTAACTGCACAAACCTTTAACGTTTACATTCAGTTTAAAGTGTTCTGGCATTTTCTTATGTAAACGCTGCCTCCTTTTGCCATCACACCCTTTATCTTACGACCACAGCAGGAAGGACCTTATGTTTGAGCCTTATCAGTCATCACTTGTTACTATGGCCACATCCAGACAAAGCGCTGACGCAGCTTTGAAAAGGTTGTAATGATGTTAAAGTGATGACAAAGGCCGTTCTACGTCAGCCCAGTCTTTACCTCATTTGTTAAAGGTTCTGTGTACGAGACTTTGAACATTAATATAGCAGCAAATGGCTATCTGCTGTGTGCAGACAGAGAGGAGTCTTTAGCGGAGAGCAGTCGGTGTGTTAATGCATGTTAGTGCATGTGAGTCCCTCCCTTTGACCCTGGTGACCCTCGCTGTGTTTATAAATTGACCCGGAGTGACCACCTCCGAGACCATATGGGCCGCTCCCCAGACATCTGCCTAACACATCTCGGCACTTACTCTCAGCTAATGGGACGAGACCTCTATCTAAATGAATGGGGAGAAAGAACCTTAACTGCACTTTCAGTGGTCACTGGAAGATTGTAAACTCCATTTATAGAAAAAACAATCAAATCAGATAAAACCTGCTTCAAAAGTTAGATGAATTAACAAACATTTTACTCTGCAGGTTATACTTTTAATATGCATGCACCCAGTTTCAAACGATTGGCCGAGTGGTTCCCAGTTCAGCTGTTAGAAAACTATTCTTTTGCGGGGAGCGGCAAGACGTGCCATACAAACGGCATGTTTAGCATTAAGGAATTCTCTTTAGGTGCAAGTGTTCGTCTTATAATGCTGGACCTCCCTCATTGCATGGTAAACAAGAATGTAGTTCTGGACTGGTACCCCAAAAAACATTTAATTTTTAAATTTTCAAACTTACAATATCAGCACGGTGGCTCGGTTGTTAGCACCATAGCCTCACAGCTAGAAGGTCCCCGGTTCATGTCCCGGCCTGGGATCTTGGGATAGGCCCCAGTGAGGATTAAGTGGTGTAAAGGTGATTGATGGGTGGATGTTATTTACTTAAGTTATGTGCCCTTGTTTCATTGTGAAAGCTTCTCGTTTGCTCTCGGTTTCACCACAGTGGCACAGACACGAGGGGAACAAAGGAGAGACCGGTTAGGCCGAGAGATAGCATTACTTGCAGCAACTTGCGATGGCATTTCGGTGTATTTTACAAGGCGAGCGTAGGCTTATGGATTTGGGTTATTTTTTGTCGGCTCTCATGTTTCCAATCCTTCTGTTTATGAGCTGATATGGAGGAGGGGAGGTGTGGCCGACTCACCCGTTTGTTTAGGTCTGACACGCATTCAGTGGTTCTGAATGTCGCGTACAGCACCTTACGGACCTCGTGTCTTCTCTGAGAAAGTCCCTGCTCTGAAGTATTTGCATAAAATGATTGAGTAGTTTTCAAGATTCCCCTGATATCAAATCCAGTCCCACTGTGATCGTTGCAACAGGAAATGTGTCACCCAGAGGCAAAGATTTTTAAAGGGTGTTGTAATCATTTCAGACGATGGTAGATGGCTGCAGAGATAACACGTGTTAGTAGACGCATTGAATTACTGGTTTTGAGCTGTTCATTGTTGTGATGTCATTGTTATAATGGAGTTTGCATCTTGGTTGTAAGATAACTTTAGTTTTTCTTACATATTGCCAAAACTGATGAGCACAAGTTAAATCCCTCCTGGTTTATCCCTTGTTAGTTTTAGTGTTGTTTCACCTGTCACCATTAAGACAAACATTTACCTGCAGTGGTAGAACTACACTTCACATATGGATGAACAAAAAGCAGTATAAGTGAAGCTGCTATGGAGTGTTTGGCAGTACACTGGTGCTCTGTGAGGATTGAGAGCTCTTCGTGCTTTGAAACATGAATGACCTTCCTTGTCCAGCTATCACAATGTATTTTTATCTCCGTTTGTGTTCGCCCAGTGGTGAGACCTCAGGACTGTACTGTAACCTTTGGCCGGGTTGCTCCAGTAAACGCTTGACAGTTTCTTTCTGTCTCCGTCTGCCAGATTGTCGGAACCACATTAACATTAACTCAGTGGAAGAACCCAAAGGCTTTTGTTTTCTCCCCTCCGAGTACTGTTTTCCATCTTCATGTGCCTGAGTAACACGGGTCTGGCGTGAATCAGTTTCGTTCTCAAGAAGAGAGAGGATGAGGGATGAGCATCTCTGATTTCCAGGCTTCAGGATAATTTGTGCCTAATTACACCTGACGAGTCAGAAAGCGGAGCATGACGACACATGACAGGGTTATTTAAGGAAAATATTGACCATCTGTTTGAGTTCAACCCTGATGCTAGACATTGCTAACAGGTGGCTAATGCTAGCAATAGCAGTACAGACAATAGAATGTTCCGTAGCCTCTTCTGAATGCTATGATAGTGAAATGGCAAAGTTCAGTTGCATGACTGAGTCTGCTCTATCTGGCTCATGAAAGGCC